GTACAGAAGCCTAGCTCTGGGCATTAGGATTCGTTATCTTGCTGTATTTTCCTCTTTTGGACATAAATATTAGAGTTGTTGCCATATATTTCATTCATCTATTGTTTTCTGTTGCTTGTTCTGGGTGTAGATGTCAGACACCCTTCATTGATCAGTGAATGCCACCAAGAAAGAAAGGGAACAAAGAGAAACAAGGGGAACCGACATATGAAGTTGCAATGGAATCGCATGTTGATCTCGTCGAAGAAGAATTGACGAAGATGAAAGCAGTAATGGAGGAGATTCGTCTTCAAACAATTCTTAATCGAAATGCGTTGGAAGTAATGGTGAAGGAAGCTGCGGATAATCAATCAAAATTGATGGAGCTTATGATTTGCAACTTTATCAAAAGTATGAACGAGGGTGGAAAGGGCTTTGTTGGTTCAAAAGATGCAAAAAGCATGAAGAATTATGGGAGGACCTCATTTGGGTTGAAATCCTTAGAAGGGGATGAGCTCATTGAGTTTCGTCAATCAGTGAAAAAAATAGAACTGCCAATGTTTAGTGGGGAAGATCCTGCAGGCTGGATATCTGGAGCTGAAATCTCTTTTACGGTACAAGGAACCAATGAAGTCGTGACAATGAACCTTGCTCAGTTGTGCATGGAAGGACGTACGATATACTTCTTCAATTCTCTATTGAACGAATACAAAGAGGAGTTTTGAGGTGGGTGATATGGTTTTCCTTAAGCTCAACAACACCATCAACACTCTGATGAGTAAAATCAGGCCCAAACTAAGTGCAAGGTACTACAGTCCTTTTGAGATCCTAGAGAAGATTGGAGTAGTTGCCTGTCGTTTGAAATTACCACCCTCTTCAAGGATACATCCTGTGTTCCATGTTTCCTTTCTTAAGAAGGCAGTGGCTGACCATAAAACAGTAGATTAACTACCAACAGAGATAGAAGATGAAAATGTGGAAGTCATGGAGCCTGAATCAATATTAGCTTACGAAAGTATTATGAAGAGGGGGGAGCGAGTTAACCAGTGGTTGGTTCATTGGAAGGGAAAAACAGCAGAGGAGACAACTTGGGAGTATGAGATTACTTTAGAAGTCAATTTCCAGGCTTAAGTCATGAGGACAAGACAGTTTTTCAAGAGGAGGGTATTGATAGGTTCCTGCCCAAAGAGTAATTGGGCCCAACGAGCCTCTAGCCCATGAAGTGAAGCACGGTTCAAGATGGGGAAGAGTATATTTGAGAAATAAGAGTAGGGGTAATGAAGTGGTCTGGTTAGAGTAGTGGTTAGTTAGAGGAGACAGAAAGAAGGAATAGTTTTCTGCTATTAGTATCAGGTGTGGAGAGAAGCGGAGGGGTCTTTTGTTGTCTGGTTGAACAGAGAACCTTGTTGGTTACTCTAGAGGAGCCTAGCTCTGGGCAGTAGGATTGGTTATCTTGCTGTGTTTTCCTCTTTTGCGAATAATCTTAGAGCTTTCATATTTCATTAATCTATTCTCCTTTCTTGTTTGTTCCGGGTGTAGATCTGTATCAAGTAGTCAAGGCAAAGTCAAGATCCCTATGCCCACATCTGCAAAAGAAATGGTTTAATATGATATAAAAAGTTTAGTTGATTCCCCAGCCCTTATCAGTTACTAATTTCACACTTGAGATGTGCAGTCCTTATAAGTTGGAAATTTAACATTGATTGGTGATATCATCAAACTAGTGTATTAAAGTATGGTGGGGGTTAACCCTTACTCCATGAGTTAGTTTTTTGGAGTTGAGTTAGGCTCAAATCCAAATTCTAAGAGTTTGATAGGAGAAATAAGAGAAACAATGATGGGTATCTTAAGTAACTTACTAAATGACACTTAGTAAGTCAGCTTGTTAGTTGGAGTTAGCTTTTTATGAGGACAAACTGTAATGAGGGTATATATAAAGGATAAGGGAGTATAGTATGGGATTTTTGTGCATTGGTTGAGAGGAACAGGTTCCTCAAAATTCCTGGGTATGCTGTTTTCTATAATTGTTTCATTATTTAGTGAGTAACATAAACAGTCTCTTGTCTTCTCTGTTCTTTTACTCTTTCTTTTCTTTATTTTTGTTATAGTCTGGTACCATTTTTTTTCAAATTGGTTTCAGAGCTTATTGCTCATCATTTCTTGGTTTTGATAGCGATTACTCTCTGGTCTACTAGTGTTAGGATATTTATCCTATTTTATCATGATTATATTGTGTCTAGAGTTATCCTATTTATCATGATTATATTGTGTCTAGGGTTACCCTATTTATCATGTACTTTTGTATCAATTTATTCTTATAAATAGAAGATTATGAGAGGGATTAATCAAGCCCTCTGGAATTATTTTACAGTCTAAATCTCAAGTACTAGTAACTTCAATAATGTCTTTTCGTGCATTTACATAGGGGGACTTGATTTGTGGTTGCTGCCCTTGCATTTTTCTGATGAGAGCAATTTGGAGGAGTTCATGTATTTGCAAATAGATCAGCCTAATGACTATTACAAAAATTCAGTGAAATATTTGCAACTAGCTCTCAACTCAGAACCTTCTGCTTCGGCAACATTACTTCCATTGGTACAGGTATAGATCATACATTTCAAGTAACTTTGATGTAGCCCCTAAACATCATTTTGTATTTCGTTCATGTTTGTTAAACTGAAAATCAGGTTCATAACTTTTGAAGCAATAATTTATTACATTACCTCCTGTACTTGCTCAAAAGTACTTTGTCTTAAGCTTTGCTTTGGGTGCTCCATGCGTTGTAGCACTTGTCCTCAGAACTGAATGGAGGATATCTGCATAAGATTTTCCCAATACTCAATTCAATAATCAGAGATGGAAATTTCAAGAATTAAATACTCAAATGAAGTGATTAAAAATTTATACTTTTTGAATGGGTTTGGGCCATGATGGTGAATAATGTCACCTTGGCCCATAGTTAAATTGGGATAAATCATATTTATACCTTAATCATTTGGTTATATGATTTAGTTTATTTTCATTACTTGTTACCTATTGGCTAAGTGTTCTGGAACATGATGGTTCTCGGCCAAGGCCTGGTAACTCTAGGTCTTGGGTTGTACACCGCCTAGATGGTTTAATTAGGATCTGCAGCTAATATGAATCTTTTCTACAATCATTTGATACATTCACCGATAGGGAAATGTTAGAAAACGGTTTTTAAGCCTAACTCAACCTCACAAAACCGTCTTGTAAGGGGAGCTTTGTACCCCCACTATATTATAATTTAGTCTTATCTCTAGTCGATGTGAGACTTCTAACACACTCCCTTCACGTCGAGGTATAGACATCTCGAGCATGAGAGTAGAATTTAATGGGTGGTCCTATAGCGGGTGGAACAGAATGTCCACATAGATCTTGCTAGGATAGATTCTAACCATAACTTTGATACCATATTAAGAAGTGGGCTTTAAGCCTAACTCAATCCCACAAAACGGGCTTGTAAGGTGAGCTTTGCACCCCACTTATATATTATAATTTGGTCTTATCTCTAGTCGATGTGAGACTTCCAACAGGAAATAACCTGAAACTTTTTGTTTAAGTGAATCAAGATAAATTTGAAGTCATTTCAAATAAATAATTTTGTATTACTTTTAGTTTTACCTAATCTTCTTTTATTTTGGTAAAATTGCAAGTCTTATTGTGGTGTTGATAAGTGCAATGCATTTATTCTTTGCATAATTCCTGAAAATTATAGGAGCACTATAATAAACCATGCTGTTGTTGTCAACAACCCGTCCTTGCTGCCTTTTCATACTTTTTCTTATTGCTATGCAAGTTTTTGGTTATAACTTTCTGTTGTAATTAGAAAAAATATATTTAGAATCTTCCTAATTAAAGGAAATAAATATATAATCTTTTATTTTATTTTGTTTTCCTAGTTTCCGTATTTCCCTTTTTAGGAGAATTAATTTATTACAAATAGAGGATATGAGAATGTATTTTTCATGATTGAGAATAATAAATCAGTCTTATTTTCAACTTGGTATCAAAGCTCCCGATCTTGGGGCTCCGTTCCGCTGCAACAGTTGCACAGCTGCCGCTATCCGACCACTGCCGCTGTCGCCGGTTGGGGTCGTTGATAGGGCCGAAAGGTGCGCCCAACACCGACGACCACAACGTCGAAAGTCACTCCGTGAGAGGAGCCGTCACGAGTTGCCATGCGCCTCCACCGTCGCCGGCGCGTGTAGCCCACGTGCCCACCTCCGGCGAGACCCTCTTGCCGCCGCCGCCATAGATAGGGTTGCCGGAGCCTCCTGAGTTTGTTCTAGGGGTTGGTGACGACCCGTTTGGCTTATATTTGAGTAGATCTGAGTTTGAAGGTTTTGCTCCTCTTCTCGATGTGACCCACACGCCGTCGTCTTCTCAAAGAAGGTAACCGGAGACTCCTAGTTCCATTCTACGGGATGTCTGAAGTAAAAATGATTCCTTTGGGGGTACCTAATGACCTACCAAATATAGGAGGTACCGATCGGTTGGATGGTCAGGAGGTACCGATCGGTTGGATGGTCAGGAGGTACCTAATGACCAAAGCCAAAGAGATCATACTCTATTCATAAAGCACTCTTCTACAGGTAAACTCACTCTATTACATGTCTATGTGGATGATATGATTATTGCAGGAGATGATGAAACATAAAAATTGGCATTAAAAGATAAATTGGCAGCTCAGTTTGAAATGAAAGACCTAGAAAAACTCAAATATTTTCTTGGAATAGAGGTTGCCTACTCCAAGAACGGAGTTTTCATCTCCCAAAGGAAATATGTACTTGATCTTCTCAAAGAAACAGTAAAGCTGGGATGTAGAACCTCAATAGTTCCTATAGAACAGAATCACAGAATTGGAAGTGAAGAAAGTGCTCCTATAGAGAAGGTCCAATATCAGAGTAGGAAAATTGATTTATCTATCACACACAAGACCAAACATTGCTTATGCTGTGAGTGTAGTGAGCCAATTTATGCATGATCCAAGAGAGAGACACATGCAAACAGTTGACAAAATTCTCCAATACTTGAAGTCAAGTCCAAGAAAGGGGTTATTATTCAAAAGGGAAGACACATTGACTATGAAGATATATACTGATGCTGACTATGCAGGTTCTATTACTGACAGAAAATCTACTTCTGGGTATTGTGCATTTCTTGGAGATAGTCTGGTAACATGGAGAAGCAAAAAGCAAGATAGAGTATCCCGTTCTAGTGCAGAAGCTGAATTTCGAGCCCTTGCTCAAGGAATGTGTGAAGGACTCTGGATGAAAATAATTTTTGATGATCTTAAAGTCAAAGTGCAAAACCCGGTGCAACTACACTGTGACAATAAGTCTGCTATGAGCATAGCCCATAATCCAGTATAGCATGACAGAACCAAACACATTGAAATTGACAGACATTTCATCAAAGATAATCTTGATAGAGGATTTGTGATTACAACTCATGTTCCTATAGAACTTCAAATAGCAGATATTTTTACAAAAGGGCTTCCTCTGGGTAGATTTCAAGATCTTGTAGGCAAGTTTGTAATGATTGATATTCATTTACCAACTTGAGGGGGAGTGTTGTAATTAGAGAAAATATCTTTAGAATCTTCCTAATTAGAGGAAATAGATATATAATATTTTATTTTATTTTGTTTTCTAGTTTCCTTATTTCCTTTTTTAGGAGAATTAAATTATTACAAATAGAGGATATGAGAATGTATTTTTCATGATTGAGAATAATAAATAAGTCTTATTTTCAACTCTTTCCTACTTAATGGCTTTGCTACCATACATAATGGATATTTTAGTATGTTTTATTGTTATTCGAGTAATTTGTGTTTGTTGAACTAGTGAAATGTGAAACCATTAGACCATTTCAAGGAATTGATGAAATGAAAGGGAAAGTAATGCTTTTACTTGTATCCTTTAGGAATGCCAATGTTGCATTAAACCATGTGGAGTGTACCCAGGTTTCAATTCATTCTAAATATTAACATTGCATCCCTTGATTCTGTTGTATTAGGACAATGATGTCTTCGTGCTTTCCTTTCAAAGGATATCCTTATGATGTATGTTAAAACTATGTTTCGTCCTTTTACCTAAATGCTTAATGCACCTATAGCATATTATTATTGTTGTTGCATTACAGAAAAAGATGGAACAACCTTCTTTTAATAATTTCTTTGGAACTTTCTGCAAAACGCCAAAACCATCTTCAACACTAAGAGGAGCTCTTTGTTTTTCGTACTAGCTGTGTAGTTTGTTCCTGTGGCAATTGACATATCGTTCTGCTTTCCTTAACTGTTTATAGGCATCTACCGCCTCTAATATTAGAAGCTTTTGGTATGTCCTTAACATTGTACTAGAGCCTCAATATATAAAATGATTATGGTTCAATCCTTGCAATTCCCATTGTTTAACCCGAGTAGACAAGACAACTATGTCCTTGTATCTGAGCTTTTGAAAGTCCTTTGTGCAACTGCATGCTAACTAATTGGTTCTCACTCCTTCCATGTGCTTATTTTGTTACACACGTTGTGGAAATATCAGTAGCTTGTATTAAATGAAATCAATTATGTCAAAATATATTTTAGGAAACTTTAAATATTATTTCCATGTATTTAATTTGTTTTATTCCCTGCATCTTGCTATTATTACTAGAATAACAATCCCACAATTTTAGGGATTTGTTCTGTAGAATAGGCTGCTCATTCAATAAGCTCTTGTATATATATCCAATGCATGTAAGAAGACAAAAATATAGAAAATAATATATTCTCTCTCCTAAATTTAAGATGGTATCAGAACTCCCGATCCTTGGGAGCCTCTGACCGTGTGTTTTGATTGCAGCCTTCATTGCTGCCTAACCCTAGAGTTCCATCACAACCTTCATTGTTGCCCAAACCCTAGAGGTCCATCACAATCTTCATTGCTGCCCAACCCCAGAGTTCCATCCCAGCCTTCATTCCTGCACATTATCCGTCTTCGTTTTTGTGCCTTAATTGCACATTTTTGTAATGGCTGAAATGGAAAATGTAGACAAGTTCCAGAATACGGAGAATTGCTGAATGTTCATTCAGCTTATAGATTGAATGGAAAAAATTATCTTAAATGGTCTCAACTCATTAAGACCATTTTAAAAGGGAAAGGAAAGGTCAACCATCTCACTAAAGATGCCCCTGTAGTAGAAGATGCCAGATTCAAGTCATGGGATGAAGAAGACTCCATTATCATGGCATGGCTGTGGAACTCAATGGTTTCGGAAATTAGCGATACATGCATGTTCCTCACTTCTGCAAAGGCTATATGGATTGCAATAGAGCAAACCTACTCTAAGGCAAAAGAGGTGAAAGGAAAAACAAAGGCTGCCAAACAGGGCACTAAATCTGTTACAGGATATGCTAATCAACTTAAATCTTTATGGATGGAGTTAGATCATTACGGGTCATAAAGGCAGGGTCATAAAGGCAGAGTGTTATGAGGATTCAGCAATTCTAAGAGAATACATTGAACAAGATTGGGTGTATGATTTCTTGGTAGGCCTAAACCAAGAATATGATTAAGTCAGAATCCAAATATTAGACGAGGAGAAGGTTCCTGGACTCAATGAAGTAATGGCAATTATTTGGAGTGAAGAAAGCAGAAGGAGTCTTATGCTAGAGACCCCAATTGCGGATAATTCAGCTATGCTTGTTGGAGGAGCAACAGTCCTGGTTGTAGAACAAAAAAAGTAGGTCC